GAGGCTGTAGGCCGCGGGGGCTCCTGGGGGGTCCAGCGCGGAAGCCCTCTGCAGCGCTGCCGTCCCCCCACCCCCAAACCCCGGCCGGTGCTTGCCGGCAGCGGGTCCGGCGCCCGAACGCTGCCGTTAACCGTCCCGGTTGGAGGCGGAGCAGCTGCGAGGGGCCCGGAGCAAAGACGTCCTGCAGGCCTGAGGGCCGCGACGGGGCTGCCCGTGGTAACAGCGAAAGGGGCGGACAATGAAGGGGGCCCCGTCTGCTTCCCAGTCCCTTTAACAGCCACTTCCAGAAAGATCGGTGCCGAGAGGGCGGCAGTTGCCTCACTGAAACACATAACCGTTATTTTATGCATTAGAGGGTAATCTAGAGCAGTTGGTTTTGTAAACGTAGCGTGGTTACTTCAAGAATCATATTTACATACCACATAAGGCTCTAGGAAAAATAAAGAACACTAAAAAAATGTTGTTCTGCTGTAGGCTTAAGTGCTGGCTTTCCAACACCAATTAGAAAAACGCATCTAAAATCCAAATATAAAGACAGTTACATTAACGGTTGCCTCAGTATTGTTGGTTGTTTTGTTTTTTTTTTTATCTTTAAGCAGAGCATCTCTCAGGAATAGTCTCTTCAAAAGTGGAAAGAGCCCATTCTACAATGATGAACACCGACATGGATGGTATAAGTTCTTAATATTCTTGCTCTTCATTGTTATTTTTTCTACTTAATATAATTTCCAGCTGTTACACAGGTTGCATTAAAACTCATATGATTTATTGCAGCTGTTGAGGCCGAGAATCAGGTGGAACTAGAAGAGAAAACACGGCTTATTAATCAAGTTTTGGAACTGCAGCACACACTTGAAGGTTAGCAGTTTGACACATCAGATTCTTTGCAAGCACACAGTAACAAGCAAAAGAGGAGAACCTTACTGGTCTGCCCTACCTTAGTCAGAGTGTCCAGAAGTATGGCTCTTATGCAGTTGAAGGTACATAAGCAAGGCCTCAGACCTACTTTTTTCTTTTCCCTTTTTATCCAACATAATGTTTGCTTGACTCCCATAATACACATCAAGCAGAAGGGGCGATACGGTTAACTTTCCCAGGCTCATTAGTTGACATACATCTTTGAGTCTGCTCATCGCTCAACTTTTGTTTCCAAATAGTTCAGTTTGCAATAGCTTAATTCAAAAACTCAAGAAAAGAATAAAGATACAAACAGTAAGTTTGTGTAACAAGTTTGTCAAAATACTGTACTGCAAAATAATATAGGAAAAATGGGCTTTAGATAAAACTTGTGAGTAGCACAGTGTTTTATAAGGTAATACCTTATGGCAATGTTTCCCACATTAAAAGCGTGAATAGTTTGATGTAGGCACATAGAACATATTCATTGTTGTATGCAAGAGCGTCTAATATTTTTCTTATAATATCACCTTCACAGATCTCTCGGCACGAGTAGATGCTGTTAAGGAAGAAAACTTGAAACTGAAATCAGAAAACCAAGTTCTTGGACAGTATATAGAAAATCTGATGTCAGCGTCTAGTGTTTTCCAAACAACTGACACAAAAAGCAAAAGGAAGTAAGGGTTGACTCACAGATGATGTCATTGTATTGCTGCTGTCTTTTTTTGTTTTAATTGGCATAGGCTACATGAGCTAAAATACCTTAGTTTGTGGCTTTACTGGATACCTGAAGATTATAAACTTTGGTGATAAACAGAATTAAGAACATTATCATGAACAGGAGACATAAGTTTGTGTATTGTTAAGATTAAGCAATGTGCAAATGTAGTGTAGAAACTTACTAAACTTTAGTATTTGTTTGAAAAATGAGCATATCTTGTTAAAAACTGGATTCAGTTTGTCAGGTTAAACAAAAGCCTGTTGGCGCTCTGAGGTCTTAGGATAGTGTTCTTGACTAGCAAAATAATACAGTTATAATATTGTGTTGAAACCTCATTGATAAAAATATTCAAAGTCTAATTGCATCACCTTTTTCACCTCAGATATATTTCATTACTGTATAGTACTGTCCATAGCTCTGCAAAGCAACTTTAAACAAAAACCTATAAACCAGTTAAGAATTTCTATGAAGTAATAACGGTATGACATTATTTGCAGGGCTTGTGTACAGAAAAACACTTAAGATTTTTTGGGAAGGAGAAGGGTAAGGGAAGAGGAACAAGGATAAGCAACTTACATTAGGGAAATACCAAATTGGTGCAGTATCAGAGTGTTTGTAGTTCGTAAGGTGTACATTTCAAACCATTTTCACCGTCCTGTTTCCTCAAAGAATGATCAGGCACGGTATCATGACGTATGATCTTCCTGAATTTTTTCAGTTGTGTGATGAACAGTTAAATAAGAACCTGAGTAATAAGCTCTACAGAAACAGACGGTCAAGTGTTCCTCATGCTCGTTGTGAACAATCTGCAGTGAGGAACTGGGAACAAGTCTTTCCTTGCTACCTTTCACCTTCCTCCCAAAGTGCCAAACTTGTCTTTGCTTCAGGCCTTAGAGCCACTGTTTTCCCGCCCCAGAGCCTGAGCTTGTGAAGTACCTCTTGAGGCACTCCACAAAAACATCTAAGGCAGAAGACTGCAGTGGAACAAAGGTGGCTTTTGCCTCTCAAACCCGTGCTGCTCTGAGTAATGCCTGGTGTCAGGGTGCCCTGGTTTTTACTGGCTTGGCTGTTTGTTAGCAGGTTTTGTAAAGGAGCTCGGCCCAGATTATGGGTCTGAGCACTTCCCATAGAGGCGGCATGTCTGGCATAGTCAGTATTAAGGGAGAGCAGAAGCTGAAACACAGACGATGCAAGTTCTAGCAGTACTCAGTTGCATCTTTCTCATCTTGCCATACAGCAGCATTGCAGACTTATTTATGGGTGTTACCTAGAACTGAGGTCTGTCCCTTCAGTAATGAAGCCATTGTACTTTTCCTTTTAACAAAATTAAACCGCTAGCTCAAGGATCTTTCAACCTTGTTGTGATGAATTCTGTAAAATAAAGCTGCAGGAACTGAATGAGTGGGTGTAATGGTGGAATAAATCCCTCTCAGACCCCAGGTTTCTCAGCAGCTAAGCACTGCTGTCTCTCAAGTGTAAGCTGACATGGTGAGGTTCCCCCCCTCCCAGAGGAGAGGTCTCCCATTTCTCCCCATTTAAGACAGCTGTACAGCGCTCACTGGAGTGTCAGTGAAGTCAAGTCATTGCAAACAAAACACTTAACACTTCGGTCTCAAGGGCTGCTTACAAGTCTGAGTCAAGAAACCTGATGATGAAACAAGTTTTACCCACCAAGGCAGAAATGGCTGATACCATTTGTGTCATGGGGTCCTGTAAACACCCAAAATTATTTTTAATCTTCTATGGACTACTCTTTCACTTTACTGCCTATCTGGAACTCTAAATTCATCCAAGAATTGCTAGCAGGTAGAGTAGATCACATGGTTAGTCCACGGTTTGAGCATTAAAAAAAAAGAACAATCACACCAAGCACTTGACTTGTAAAGATTGCATTGCATTACAGTTATCCTAGCTTTAAAGCCATGTCACTGCACATCTCCATCTGCACTGTAGCAGATCAAGTGGTAACAGAGCATGCGCTTGTTAGACTTCAGCAATTTCCCCCGAGATCAAGTAATCTTAAAATCACGGTTTTGTATTGTAAGATTGGATAGTGATATTTTATCCATCGGTGTGTATATAGTAGTCATTTCATCTATATGGCATTTTACATCCCACTACCGTGGCCTTCATTTAACTTATGAACGTTTTAAAGATGATGTATTTCTGACTTTACACTAAATAAAAACTTTTGATTTGTCTCGATTAGTTTGGTTTAACATTTGTAAACCCTAAAACTTCTCATAACTATCTGTAGTCAAAAGGTGGAAAAATAGTAGGGTTTGCTGTCATCTTAATTGTGTCTACATAGCTGAAGCGCCTAAAATACTAGATATAATTAGCAAGTATTAAGATTAAACCTGGGTTAATTAATCTATTTTCAGCAAGCTCGCAGTTCCTGACTCACGTGGTATTTTCACCCACTGAGTCTTACATTTCTGTATACTTTTCTGTTCTGGCTAAAGTAAAGAAGAAAAGGATTGGTAGACTGCATCCGGTGTTGTCAAAGCTAAAACTTGCACCTCTCCACGCAGGAGAACTTTAAGCCAAGTTAATAGAAGAGATTTTATCTTTTCCTACACATGTAACGAGCTCTACATTAGACAGAAACCAGAATTATTACTTCATCATACCTTCACGAAGGTGGAAGCTAACTGAGGAGTAGCTTCAGTTGTAATTAAATAAAAAGGCCTCAGTCCTACTTAGCCTTCCCTGAATATAGAAAATTCTCGGTCTGGGCTTTGGCGTCCTCAGTGAGACCACTTTTACTAAGCTACGACGTAGCCCGTGGGAGCGCAGGCTGCGGAGGTTCAATACTCATGGAGTTCCAACCATGACTGACAGTTTCAGTAGCGAGGCATCCTGGAACTGGATTATCATTAGTTTCTTAATTTCAAAGCACTTTCAAGCAGCCATGATAGCGAGATCAAGTATTTCTCCTGAAATACCTGTTCGGATACAAACGGACTACACCCAGGAACTGCGGGTGAAATCTCAGTGTTACAAGTGTCAATGGAAAGGGGTTCCCCTTTTGCCTGGCTTTCCACATCTAGAGCCTCAAATCCCCAAAGCTCTGATATTTCTCCCCTAACCACTCGCATAAGACTAGATCCAAGTAGGCTGATGTGCAGAAGGATGTCTTCTATCTCCAGGTTCCAGGTAATCGAAGTCATTAAGTCAGTATTAAAACGAGATAAGCCTTACAGAGTCAGTATTCTTGCAAAGAGCACCCTTAAGCCACAGCCTCACAAGACCGTTTTATCCGTAACAAATGGCTCCTCATTTACTGAAGCACAAGCAAAGATGTTGATGGGGCATTAACCAAGACTTTATGGGAACCTGAAGTTCAAAACCCTAAGGGAAGACTGGCATCCCCCGTGGGGTGACCAATCCCTGGAGTAACTATACCACACCAAACAAACACTCAAAAAAAAAAAAAACCAAACCACCAACCAAACAAAAACCAAACCCAAAGGCTGTAACAATCCCAAAGGACTTTTACCAGGCTCAGACAAGGTTCATTCAAAAGTAGCGCTGAAATGCTCCCTGACAGCTCACAGTAGCTGTTACTAGCAGGATACTGCATTGGTAACAACTTTTATCTACTGCTGAAAAGTCACAGGCAGGAAGAGGAATCGGGAGTCTCCACTTCTTACCTTTTGCATGTAGACCCTAAATAAAGAGGAGGAAACTTGCATTTAACTTTAAAAAAAAAACAAACAAAAACAGAAACAAAACCCAAAAACCCCCAAAACCAAACAAAAAAAGAGGCCTTTTCATGTAGTTCACATAAAATAGAGTCCAATGTAATTAACTTTTGAACACTTCAACATAAGCACTTGAAGACACTTGGCTTCTTCATTAGGGTTAATTAAGCATTCATTTGTGAGAGACTTCCACGAAATCTTTGCTGCCTCGATTTGCTGTGAAAACATTTCTTTACGTGAACTAGCTTCTTGCTAGGCACAAGGAAATCCGTTAGGTTCCTTATGCATTAATGTATTTCTACTTGTTCTTAACGTATGACTGCTTTTGCTAGCATTTTACGTCCTACTAATATTATAGGCAGCTGCCAAGCAGCAAGAGGTTTCTACTGACTGCAGTTTTATTGTTTGTTTTAATATACAGCTGAACGTTAACAAAACAAAGTTTCTTTTACAATACGCAGTTTATTTAAACTATATTATGAGAATGCCCAGTTACTCACATCTGTAAAAAACTTAATCCATCAAAAATTCTTATCTATATTAATAAATTTCATGTTAAGCAAGAATTATTAAATATTTTTAAAGAGGCAATGTACACTTAGCAAGTATTCTATAAACAGAGGTTATACCACTCTGGCTTGGAACATGAGAACTATAAAAGTTTGAAAAAATCATCTGTATATCACTTCTGCAGATGCGATATCTGCATTCAAAAGTAAAACAAGTCACATCAATTACCACTTGTTCTACGAGTATTCTATTTTAAAATATCTTTTAAAAATAAATTACTGTAACCAATGTCGAAAGTGAACAGGTGACCACCCATGTAACAAGGTCAACTAAAATAAATAATTTACAATAAAAATTGTTGCTAGCACTAAATCATCATACAAAAGCAATTATTGCGTTTAGCTCTGCACAGAACAAAACACCTTTTCTCATAGCAATGTGAACTGCTATAGATGCTACATCTATACCACCATCCTCTTTTAGCTGAAAAGTGTGAACAGCTGATTTTGTGCTAGAGCTGCAAAAATGTTACCATTTATTCATGTTTTTAAAAAATATTTAGAGTAAGTTTATCTCCAACTAATACTAATTTCTAGAAATCTTCAAATCTTAAGAATCTTCACCTTAAAATCAGTTGGCCAACTTGTAATTTCACTTTTTTTTTTTTAATTCGAAGCATCAGCTAACTCTTCACGCATAGTATTTCTCCTTAAAAAAGGGAATCAAGGAAGTTGGGGAAGGTTAAAAGAGGTTAGAGAATTAAAATCAGAGGTTAAGTACCAATGAGTCCCCCCTTTTCCTTCAGATCTCAGGAACTTGCATGCTGTCAGGCCCACTGAAGAGGCATACCAAAAGTTACTATTATCTAGACCTACAAATACTAGCTAGAAGTAACTCAGTCCTTTCGTACTCTTCTTTTACGCACTGATTTCAGTGGACCGTCTCTAGAACCTGTGCTTTCATCAGCTTCTTTCATCTGAAAAAAAAACAAACCAAAATAAAACCAGCATTAAAATTTTAAACCAATTTTAATTTAATTATTGAAACTGGCACATTACTTTATTCCTCCTCCCGACCCCCCCAATCATATTGTCACTAAATGCAACACTGAAGTGATAGGACATTTTTTTCCTCCACAATACTAACCTAACAATAAGTAAAATGGGTAGAAGACTTTTCCTTTCTCTGTTCAGAAGGAAGGGAATACTACATCTAAACTGATGTCAGAAATTTGGTTTTGCCCATTTACTCATTGGTTTAAAAGCGGTGACT